GTGGTATACTACTGAGCTTCAAACTGGGGGCCTCATCAGAACCATAAAGCTTCTCACAGGACTCATACAACCAGGGGAAGACTTGGCAAACCTGAAAGCATGTGTAAGGGTTATGATCCAGATTCCAGGGATGGGGAGGCCTGCAGAGGAAGTAACATCTAAGCCAAGGGGTAAAGAGTGAGCAGTGAGTATGAGGGTAACGACATGCCACATTATCTGCACCCAACTAGAGGGCACCTCTTCTAGTTGGTTAAGGCCCTCCCATCTGTACTCCCCACATACCCTGGGATTTCCTCTAGCTATAGTGACCTTAAGTCCTACTTTTCTCTGGAAAGTCGCCTGCTTGAGCATTAATGGTGCCCCCTTTACAATCAGATGTACCCTGGTTAGGATCATAGATTACACTGTTACCCTACCTTTTAGTCTCTGGCTTGCATGTGACTGAGCTCACCAAGGGCCTAGACTCCATATTCACCTTTGAATTCCTTCGCAAGCTGTTCCAGTCACTTTTGTATCACACCACTTACCCTGGTGTCTGATGTAAATACACTGAGCAACACAGTTGTCCAAAACAATGTGTGAAATCAGAATGAACAGCAAATTCAAGAAATAACACATCAAACCTGTGAATCTTTACATCATGTTGGAATCCTGATTCCATCTTTCTATGTGCCCTTCTGATTCTTAGGATTTTATCGGAAAAAGCAGGATGAGTACCTTCCTCACAGGACAGAGAAGTTTAAACGAGGTAGGATGAAGTGCTTCAGCACATACTTGCATATGGAGCACTGTCTGCAGCTGCAGCTACTGTAGACAAATGCCCCCCCCACCCCACCCCGCCACAACATGTTCTGCCTTAAGAAAATCAAATCAGCATCTAAGAAGCACCTAGTGGGGACTTGGTAAGTGTGCACTAGATGAATGCTTAGTCTAGTGCTAGGAGCTGGGTACTGGCCAAATTCTTGGGTTACAAGATACATTAGTCAAAATTACAAACTACAAGTCAAAAGTTTTTACTCCTTTAAGTCCAGTTTTAATAATAAATTTCTAAAACCCCCTCCTTATAAGCATAGATTACAAAAAAAAAAAAAAGGGCAGCACCATCTAGTTACATTCTACTTGTGCTAATTAACAATTTAAACTTCACCTTTCTTGTAATGATACTCGAAAAAGTTATTCATATAAGCATGCCAACTTGGATATTTTGGTTCATCTCCTCTCTGAACTGTCAGCCTCTCAAGTTTTATGTGATTAATGTATACAGAGAAAAGTAGAAAGGTCTTAGATTGAGTCTACAGTAGTTTTCTTGATCCCCAATTACAATATCCTCTTTTGCAGTATATCCTTGTCGAACATTTGGAATGAATTAAGACATTAAACTTCCAGATGTTTAAACTACTACTGTAAATTTAAACTCATTAAAAGGAGGCAGATTTACTACCTCTACTTAGTTTTGAAGTCTATTGTCCACTGTCCAAATAATTTATGGGACCAAATACAGTGGCAGGTAGTGTATTCTATTTATATAGTATTCATGGCGAGAAATAAGGGGCATTTAAAAAGGTCTGGAAATTTACTGCCATTTTCACCAACCTATAGATCACACTTATTGTTGTTTCTAAGTTAGTAATTGTTTCCTGAAACTGATCTAGTAGATATTTTTATGCTAATCTGTACTAAAAATTACTTTGCTTTTTCTGGCCACAAAAAGCTGGCTGCAGAAGAACATTTGATTATGGCCAGAAGACAGCTGCACCCACTCTTGTGAAATAAATGAACCTGGATCTACGATCCTTTGTGGTAGTGTCTTGGCAGCCAAACAAAGGTGGCAGCATTTCTACACCCAGTTTGTAAAGTCTCAGGCTCCAAGTTTTTTTGCTGTTGTTGTTCTTTTTCTTTTTTTTTTGCAAGGAGCCCATGTCGACTATAATGAGTGTATTTTAGATGTTGTGCTGAAAGCTGGCAATGGATAAAGCAAGAACATAAAAGAAGTCTATTCCCAAAGCAAGTATTGCTTTTGCAAACCTTAAGAATGAAGTGGCTTTCACAATCAATTTTAAGATCGAAGGAGTTAACTGAAGTGCCAAGCTCTGGCACTTATTAGCTACATAATTTGAGGCAATTAATTTACTACTATGAGCTTGACTTCTCAACTGAAAAATGGGAATAAAACCTGAGTTCTTCTGAGGACTCAAATGAGATAATCAAGGCGCTTTGTAAACTCTAATACTGCAAAGTACACTTTCCCTCTTTTATGAATTACTCACTTTGAATAGTTCTTAAAAAGTGGCTGCCCCTAAAGTAAAACAAAATTAAACCAGATTCAGCTAAATTACTGCAGAGGAGTGGGCCTCCAGAGAACTCTTTCATCTCAAACTACTAACCTCATCAGATATCCTAAGAACTAAGTGAAAATTACACACATTATAAAGGATTTGTTCTCATTTTATAGTACCATATCCCATATTGGGCTTCAACTGGATAATTTCAAAAAGATGAGAGTAAATGTGTAAAAAGCCAAGATTCCTCTAATTAGACACATTAAATCTTGAATGTATTTTCTTAGATTTTACAACTGTTTAGATATGATACAGAACTTATTTATTTTGGTACTGGGGATGGAATCCAGGAGTGCTTAACCACTGAGACACATCCCCAGCCCCACTTTTTTAAAAATTTGAGATAGGGTCTTGCTAAGTTACTAGGACCTTGCTAAACTGCTGAGGCTGGCTTTGAACTCATGATCCTTCTACCTCAGCATCCCAAGTTGCTGTGATGATAGGTGTGTTGCCATGCCCAGCAGAACTTACTTAAAAAAAAAAAATGCACAAGGCTTTCCTGCATACTGTTTATTTTTCTTTCCTTTAATTTTGGTAAATCTGATTTACTAAGGTCTATCTAATTTGTGTATGTAATTATAAAAAGTACAACCGGCTGGACATGATGATGTATACCTGCAATCCCAGTAACTCAGGAAGCTATTGACAGGAGGATTGCAAGTTTGAGGTCAGCGTGGGCAACTTAATGTGACCTTGGCTCAACATGAAAAAAAAAAAAAAAAGGGTTGAGATTGCAGCTCAGGGATTGTGCCTAGTAACCTAGCATGTGTGAGGTTCTGGGTTCAATTCCCAGTAGTGCCAAAATAAATAAATAAATAAATAGTGCAGATTGTAGTCCCAGGGGCCAACTCCCAACTCTAGGCTATAAATTCTGAGTCAGATGTAACTGGTATTGACAGCACCTAGCTGAGAAGTCAGGCATACAGTAAGCATTCAACTAATATTTGTGGAATAAACACTCCCAGGTATCTCTTTCCAAATACCTTGCAAGAACAATCTTTTTCACCTGTGACCCTAACACTCACTCAAATTGCCATCAAGGATCAGTTTTTGAAAATTAGGACTTTTAAGCCTTCATTAAATGTCCAAACTAGAGGAAAAAAAAAAAAAAAATATATATATATGTATGTTATAGACACAGACACAAATAATGGGTACCTTAAAAGCTTAATCAATCCTTGTTATTTGAATGCTTTGGGATATATGATTGTAATGGATGAAACACGGGCCATATTTTGCAGCTCCTCCTAACAAGGGGAATCTACTCCTTGTCCCTTGAATATAGGCTGACCAAGTGATTTGCTTTAACAGTGTGGTAAAGGGGCTGAAATTGTGGCTCAGCGGTAGAGCACTTGCCTGGCATGTGTGAGGCACTGGGTTTGATCCTCAGCACCACATAAAAAATAAATAAATAAAATAAAGGTATTATGTCCACCTACAACTAAAAATATATTAAAAAAAAAAAAGAGTGTAGTGAAGTGATGTGCCATGATTTCTTAATTTCTTTCATGGTACTCTAGGATCATCAATCCATAAGCCCAAAAAAAAAAGGTCACATGAAGTCATCCCACCCCAGACTCAGCCAACCTGCTGGTAGAATGCAGAAAGCCCTGATGAGACAAGCAAAAGAACCAAGCAACCCACAAAATTGAGAGAAATGATGAACTGTTTCTTTAAGCCATTAAGTTTGGGTACACTGGTAAGCAGCAAAAGGTCACTGATGACAAACTACCTAATCCTCACAGCACGACCTTAAGGTAGGTTTTCTAGCTAAAACAAAGCAGGGTTAAAATTATTTAGAGGTCACATCACTCTCAGGAGGCCCTAAGAACTAGATGCAGGCACTGACAGGTCAGTTCTGTGTCTCCTTCACTGTCATCCTGCCGTCATGAACTTGATCAGTTCTTTCTGCCAAGGACAGCAGCATCTCATCTCTTAGCACTCTGGCTATAATAAGTCTTATCTTTTTATAAGCTACATGGGCAATGTGTCCTGACTGGATAAATTCACTGGGCTTGCCCATGACAGGAAATGCATTTTGGGTTATAATTCAGACTCAGCACTCCAGCAAATGCACCCATTCTGCTTTCTGAAGCTCAAATAACAACTTATCCCAACATAAAACAGTCCAGTGGCAGCTCTGCAATTAAATTCATCCATTTACATTTTATCCAGCAATAACACAAACCCTGCTAAAATAGGGATGAGGATGAGGCTCAGCAGTAGAGTGCTTGACTAGCAAACATGAAGCCCTAAATTCAATCCCCAACACTGCAAAAGAACAACAAAAAACAACAGCAACCAAACCCGCCCCCCCCCCCCAAAAAAAACCAAGTCAGGCAAATCATACAGTTAGTAATTTCTCAATTTAAATCAACATCTTTTTCTATACCCTAAGTAGAAAACACACATACCAAGACAACAACCCCACAAAACACTTCATTTTTAAAAAAATTATACATGAACATCTTTGTTTATTTATTTATTTTTATGTGGTGCTGAGGATTGAACCCAGTGCTTCAAATGTGTGAGGAAAGTACTCTGCCACTGAGCCACAACCCCAGCCCCTTCATTTTGAAATTATGAAAATCATGAAGTTGGTTATCAAATATAGTTTAAAATAATTTACCATAAGAATGTTTTGGACCCAAAAAAATAATGTACCTGAACTTTAAACAAAATTCACATTTTATTTAGATTGAAATAAACTATACAAAATTGATTTTCTTCACCAAAAATAACAGCAATATATTCTGTATTATTTCTAGATAAACTGTGAAACATTTATTTTGTAGGTTTTCCAGGTTTTGCTTATAAATCAAGACGAGGCAGTAGATATAGTCATGGAAAAAGAAAACAGACAAGTTGCCCATATCAACAGCCTCTGATTCTGTCTTGACCGTGAAGCAGAAGTGTTCACCATTTACTTGCTAAAATGAAAGTGTAGGCTTATGAAGACGTAGGCTCAACAAAGGAATGTAAACAGCAACAACCAGTTGTGGAACAACCACGGCAAGCTCTTCCACTCAAATTTTAACTGTAACTTGTTCTTTAAGTTCGTTTGATAAAGGCAAAATCTATACTGAAATCTGTTTGGTAAGCTCACAACTCTGGTTAATTCCCTTAATTGTCCATTACAGATTTTAACACACTTAAAACTCCTAATAGTCAAAGGTCAACAGTAGGCTTCATTGTAACATTTCATAAGATGCATTCTTTTCTTATACCTCCTCAAAATTTATTTCTTCAAAATTGATAATAATACCTGACAAGTGGATCCATGGTAATAATACATTTTATAACCTAAAAGACTTAACTAAAACAATTTCAGAGTGCTACTAGCAGAGGTCACGCAGAGGTGAAATGTGGTACTTCCAATGCAGTCTTCTGGAAGAACAGACAATTTTTCAAAGCACGAGAGCTCAAACAGGTGCCATGTACATAGGCAGATTACCAATGGCTAATGTATTCATGAGGCCTGTAGGCAAAGATATTCAGTGATAAGTGACCTACATATACCTTACGGCTTTTCTTCCAAATATCAAATATAAGAGAAAGCCCATTTAAAAAGTCTTTTAGGTATTTTCAACAGTTTCTGAATTATCTGTAGGAAGCTCTGACTTAGTTGTATATAGTTTGATATATGTGTCTACCATTAAATCCAGATCATGTTTTATATCAAAATTTATGTTAAGCAAAGCCAAGTTACTTGACCTTTGGTCTGTCAAAGTGTTCCTCAAGTATGCTTTAAGACGCTTTCGTCCATTTTCATAGCGTTCATTCTCAACCTTCATTACAGGAAGAATACACAGGACCTTCAGCAAAGCATATACATTAGGAAAAAACTTGATATCAGGCAAATGAAGGGCTTCATAAATGGTGGATGGAAGCTCTATATCTTTCCCTCGATGTTTCCATTTGATTCTCCAACAGTGTAGCTCAGCTGAAAGCGTGTCGGGATTAGGCAAGTCACTTCTGTACATGTCAGCATGGTGCTCCTCTGATGTATTAAATTTGAGCTGTCCCATGACTGACGGTACCAGAGATAAGCATTTAAGAGCTTTGAGGTGCTGTTCTGAAAATATATCTTTAAGTTCCTGAATGATGTGCTCCACTGTTGGAACACTTAGGGTTTCTTTATAGTAACTTTCAGAGGTTAGCTGAGATTCCAGGTTACCCTGCTGAGCCCTACGAAATTTCCCAGGGAGTTTCATCTGAATATCAAGTTTGGTTGCCAAATTTGTTGCTTCCTCAAACCAAAACTCATGATAAACTTCAATATTTTCCATTACTTCATTGAGTGAATGTAGTACTGCAGTTAAGCTACTGGCAGCAAAGAAGACATCAGAAGTTTGTCCCTGGAGATTTTTCCCAAAGGCTCTTGTAAAAGATAAGACATTTTTAAGAACAACAATGGTAACAATGAAATCAAAATCTGTTACTGCACTACAGAGTACAAATGCTCGACCAGTTATACAATTATTCCATCTAATATTTGTGTCACTATTTATACCATCTAAACATAAAACAAGTGCTTGCAGGAGATCCACCAAAATTTCAAAAGCATCATGCCTACCTGTCCACTGAGAATGGCAAATTTCCTTCAGTTCTTTACCCCTTTCTTCACTGTTTTGAAAAAGAACAGAAATTACATTGTCAAGTTCTAATAGCAGTTGTGGTGATCGATGGAAAAAAGAACAAACTTCTTCAATTGTTCCTAATGCAACAGACACCCCCATCACAGGCACTGATTTTGCCAACCACATGTTTAAGGCACAGGAAGAGCAGAGTGTGTAGATAGCTTGAGGGTATTTCTCTAAAAGTCTAGAAGCAACAACTTTCATTTTGGAAGAGAATCCGCTAGACACAATGTAAGCCTGGCCACGACAATACTCCATATTTAGTCCCCACTTCTCAGTTATGGTAGTGTGAAATTTCACAGCCAAAATTTCTGCATCAGCTTCATAAGGCAGGAAGCCCACAAATTCCTCTCTCAAGTTATGAGACTCATCTACAAACCTCACCAACACGGGAAGGTGCTCTTCCCCTGCTATGTCCACCACATCATCAGTGATAATGGAAAAGAAGTGCGAGTCTCTCACTTCCCTGAGGGTTTCTTCCCGGATGCAACTCTCACAGATCTCCAGCATCTGTTTCTGTTGTGTTTTTGAACAGAACAATGTGTTAACTGCTGTGGTCTCAAAGCGTTTTCTCAGGACCTCTTCACCAGAATTTATCCGGCACTCCAACAGGGCCTGAAAGTTATCAGGAGTGAAGAGACCTTCTGGGATTTCATCAGCCTCATGCCCGTCCAGAGGTATATTTTGTTTTCCCATAAGAATCAAAATTTCAAATAAAGATTTTAAGTATTCTTTGTTTTCCTTCTCTTCAAGGGTTAAAGGCAAAATATCTTCATCCTGTTCATCACCCCCTTCTTCTGCACTGGGGTTCTGAGCATTGCTATTGTTTGTTTCTTTATGTTTTTGTTCCTGTTCAGAAGTTTCATCAACTGGAAAACAGAGAGTTAATTTTACAATCCCATAAGAAATCACACAATACAAAGTACATTTTTGGATTGGCTAATATTTTAAAACCATAAACTCATTCATCCAACATTCACAGCATCTATCTACTAGACCACAGAGGAAGACAGAATAAAACAAAGACAATAGAAGGAGAAACACTGGGAACAGATTTTAATTATACGTGTAAATAAAGTTGGAATGATTTTTAATTGACAACATATATATTATACAGAACAGTGACAGTCCATGCCTTCTGAAGTAAAAGTAAATATTTATGGAGGACACTGTGTTTAGCATTTTGTGTGCATCACTTTAATCTTTATTCAGGCAGATGGTATCAACCCCACTTGACAATAAATAACTTGCCCAAGGCCACAAATGCATTTATAAGGATAAAAGTGAAATTCAAATTCAAGCTTGTCTGGCTCCAAGGTCCATACAGATGCTGTTTCTACCAAACCATTAAGCCACACTTTTATATGAGAGATGAGACAGTTATACAAACCAATCCGATATAGATTCATGTAACTGTTAGGGCTAATATTAGAAATCTTCACCTAATCTCATATTTGGATGAGAAAAGTGAGGCCCTATAGGTTAAGAGTCCTGCCGACAGTCATACTGGCAGCCCTAGGAAAATAATCCAATCTGAAGAATCACCGGACCTAGCTCTTATATAAGACTATGAGAGGGCCACCAAAAATTGTACATTTTCACTGGGGGAAGGGAAAAATGTTCAGAAGAGAGAAGTTGCATTTGATTTTGACCCAGATAAGAAGACATGAGGGCACTACAGTTGGTAGAAAGTATTCCAGCAACAGCACCAAGATAAAACAGAGAAGTGGGCTACCCAAATACAAAGCGAAATCTGGTGTGATTAGAGGCTGGGTAAGCTGTGCTTCCAGGCCTGCCAGAGCAACACCAGGGTTGAGCAAGGGCAGGGATTACTCTTTCCTCACCCCTCCTCAGCTCAGAGGCCATCTATTCATCATACACTACAAAGCAAACAGTGTTTTCTACACTATGCAGGTTTTTGCCATCCAGAAAGCAAGAGGTTATCCTGGATGCCCGCCTGACAGCCTGTCTCCTTTCCTCCTTCCTATATTCCTTCTGACCTCCATTACTTCTCCACTCTCAATCAACAAGTATTAATTCTATTGTTTTATTTTTTTAAAGGGATGTTCATTAAGGAGCAAAAACATAAGGTGAAAAGCTAGTCACTCTCCTTTGGACGTCTTTCCATATGTAAGTCATCTGTTTACAAGTTCCCCGAGTCCTGGCTTCCCTGTCAAGAGTGTTACTCTTCCTACTTCCAACAGTGTTCCACATAACATGAAATGAGGTTCATGCCATCACCTACTTACAAATTCCTCAATGGTTCCCACTGCCACACCCTGCAAATTCTGGCCTCTATGGTCCCCTCTGGGTTCATTTTCTAAGTATCATGGTTTATCAGAAATTCCAATACCACCAAAGTGAGGGCACTTTCCCAAATCTAGCACCCTATTTCATGCCACTCTACTTTTGTATAGAATCTTTCCCTCCTTTCTTTGCTTGAGTCTATGTCTCCTTATCTATAAAGGGAGAATTAAAATATTACTTAACACAGAGCTCTGTGATGATTAAATGAATTAATATTAAGTACTTAAAATGATGATTTGACCTCAGTAAAAGTTTATGTTAATTGTAGCAACAGGAGAGAGACGAAGAGGATAATAGTAATAACAGGAACAAAAACAACTTCTAGCTGCCATTCTTTGGCAAAAGCTCAGGCATCAGCACCTGCCACTACATCCAACACACCAAGTGCCCCCCATAGCATTTATTTCTTAAATGTTTACCAAAAACTTATTATGCACAAGTTGGGTAGACATAAATGTCTGCCCTTCCTTCCCTGTCCTGGGATACTGTCTGTGTTCCTGACACCCGAACCACATAGAAAGCAACACATTTTCAAGGCCAGCACAGGGCAAAGTGTGTGGCTTGGCAGAACTCAACAAAGACAAACTAAAGTAAGACTTTAGTCTCTGATAATTTCAGACCACAGGACAAAGCTGACACACTCTTACATCCATTCTCAAGGTAGGTTGTGGACATAAAACATATTTATTTGTTCTTACCAGGTCAAGGCCTTTTAAAAAGGCATTCAGAAGCTGAGTCATTAACACTATCACTTACTTTTTTTCTGTTTCAGTGTCCTGATTTCATCTTCACTCTAAATAACAAAAAAAGAAAGAAAGAAAAAACAAACAAAGAAAAAAAACCATGTTTTAGAAAACTGACCTCTAGTGTATCATCTTAAACTCAAATAAAAACCTGTTTTGAATTGTTTTACTCTTTCAAGAGCATAATTTATATTAAATATGTTCTTCAAACAGATGATAAGAAAACCAGAATAATAATTATTTGCTAATTACTCCAAGCTTATAATAAAGTCCTAGAGGGGAAAAACATATCACTTATTTTCTCCCTAAAAACCCTAACTTTAGGTTATAAGTGTTTACTAAATAATAAAGGGAATGAAAAGTATACCAAGGCACTTGAAATCAAATTCAAGAGGAAGTAAATTATCTCCCTTCCCAATCTAACCTTGGAGATGCCTCCTAAGAGGGAGACTGCTGAATTGTAGAACCTAATAAAAATGATGAGGATTCCCTGGGAAGTAGAATTAACAGAGTGCCAGCATAGAGAAGAAATGAATGCATATAGCATAGTTTATGCACTATGACCCCTATACAGGGATAGATGGAGGAGGAACTTACCAGCTGAGTCCTTTACTCTCCCTCCAAACCTCAGTGATAATCAGATCACAACCCACCCATTACTTTTGTGGAAGGAAAGTACCAGTGCCAGTTATAGCTGGGACCACACAGTACCCACTGAACAGCTCTGGACATTCTGCTGATAAGAATGTCTCCAGGCAGGTCAACCTGCAACACTCCCTCCTTAACTGGTGGGCTGCCCAGTTACAGGCTGGAAGACCTGGAAGTGTGCCTGCTATGAAGTATTTGATGTTTCTTAAGAGGGAGAGTTACAGGGGCATGACAGCTACTGGAAGTGGTTGAGCTCCTCACCCCTGGTACAAATTACTAAGAAGAAAAGGCCCTTTGAAAATACTCATTAAAATAATATGTCAGCATTTATGTATAAGAAGTTTCAGAAAAATAGAAATAACAGAGGAAAGAAGTGCATGAAGAAATTAAAACTGAGAATTTCTCAGAATTTAAAAGATATAAGTCCCAGGGTGGGGAAGCAGCTTAGTGGCAGAGTGTTTATCTAGTATGCATGAGGCCCTAGTTTAATCCATAGTTCCACAAAAAAAAGAAATTGTAAATAAAGACATAAGTCTTCAGATAATGGTCAATATGCTAGATAAGAAAAAAATTCACACACACACACACACACACACACATATATATAGTTCAATGAAATTTTAAATGTCAAATATAAAAAAAATTATAAAAGTTTTGAGAGAGAAAAGGTAGATCACCCAAAAAGAATAGAAATAAAGCTGGTGTCAGATTTCAACAGCAAGAATGAAGGCAAAAAACTAGGAAGAGGGCTGGGGTTGTGGTTTAGTGGTAGACCACTTGCCTAGCATGTGAGAGGCACTGAATTGGATCCTCAGCACCACATATAAATAAATTAATTAAATAAAGCTATTGTGTCCATCTACAACTAAAACAAAACAAAAACAAAAAACTAAGAAGAATCCTCTCCCACTGACTATGTGCACCCTCAATGCATCACTTAGTAACATGTCAAATAAAAAAATATAACCACCCCACCTCCACAAATTGAGATGGGGGTATAGCTCAATCACAGAGCACCTGCTTAGCATACACAAGGCTTTGGGTTCAATCCTCAGCACCAAAAAAATCCGACATTTTCAAAAATTTGACTTTGTGTGTTCCTAAAAGTATTTTAATAGTTTCTTCAAAGAACCAGCATTTAGACTTATCAATGATTGCTGTTATTTGGCAGCTATTTTATTGGGTTTCTTAAATTCATGGATGGAACTAATTAATATAATAAAAATGTCAATTCAAAGCAATTATATAATGAAAATCCCAGAGGATTTCTAGGAGAACTTGACACAAGAATTCTCAAATTCATATGGAGGAATAAAGGTTCACAAATAGCTAAGAAAGTTTTGAAAAAGAAGAGCTTAAAAGTCACTCTATTTGAAAGTAAGACATATTACAAAACCATAGTAATAAAAACAATGTGGCACAGATATAAACAAACAATCCAGTGGAACAGATCCAGAAGCAGCCTTGTGTTAAACTGGTATATAACGAAGGTGGTATTTTTATACCACTGGAGGAAAGGATGAATTCATTAACAAGATTATTGTTAGGGTTTGGATCTTAAATGTCCCCAAAAGGCCCACATGCCAGTCTGTGGCATTGCTGGGAGGTAGTGGAACCTTTAGGAGGTAGGGCCTAGTAATAAGAATCTAGATCCCTGGGGGCGTGCTCTAGAAAAATACAGTAGGACCCTGGCCCTTTCCTCTTTTTGCTTCCAAACTGCCATGAGGTAAGCCGCTTTGCTCCACCATGAGCTCCCTCCTACAAAGTACTGTTTCGCCATAGGCTCAAAAGCAACAGATCCAGCTAACAATGGACTAATACCTTTGAAACCATGAGCCCCAAATAAACCTTTCAGTTGTCCCATATATTTGTCATAGGAATGGGAAATTAACACAGCCACATCAAAAAACCTAATTTTCCATAAGGAGAAATATAAAGTTAAATTTCACTTGGACACCATAAAAAGTCCAAATGGACCAAAGATCTAAATATGAAATGTAAACAGAAGAAAATGAGAAAAATTAGATATTATCTTAAAAAACATATAATAAATGAATTGATAATGACATATTAAATATACTACCTATCTAAGAGAAATGGAAATAATAGTGGAAGAAGGAAACACAGTAAAACAAAATAAAGGCCTTGCCAGTGGCAATGAGAAACAGAAGCCATGGACTTAAGGAGTCTGAATAGCTTAATTTTGTTCACTTAAGGTCAACAAAAACAGAAAATGATCAGAACTGAAAAAGATCAAAGGAATATAGAAACACATGTAAATTATGCTGTATTCAAAGATTTAAAGCTTTTCTAACCCTTGTCAATATTTTAATAGTGACAGAATCCTCATCTCTAAAACAATCCATGCCTCAACTTTTATCTCTTCCTTCTCTTTATTCCTTTGTGCTTGATTCTGGAAACCTACCTCAGCTCCATTTTCCTTAATACCAAAGAAAAAGTAGCTCTTCTGATTATCCCCAGTCCCAAGAATAAAATGAACTAGTGGCCTGAAAGTGGCAGCACACTTAAGCCCAAGTCAACTAGTATCAACTGGTTGGCTAAATTCAAGGGAGGTTTTCCAATTTCAACTGTACCAAAACAGATTAATTATCTTACATCCAAGTTTACTTAGTAATCATAGAATTTGTTTCCCATTATGTTACCTTTGAAATAGAGAACAACTTGGGTCAATTTTTAATATAAATGCACCTTTATTTGACTTCACAGTATTACGGGGAGGTGGGAAATCTGAAAGTACAAAGACATACCAATTCTTTTATTCGTTTTCTGTGTCTACTATGTGGATTGTTCAAATGACTGGTAAGATCAAATATTGTTGGTATTGCATTATCTCGAAGTACTGTCCTATAAGGACTCTGAAAAAGAAAAATGTGTTAATTCAGAAATGGTCCTTCAGAAAAAATAAAATTCTGTATTAAAGATTTCTCCAGTATTTCTTTAGCTCTAATATACAGACTTGCAGTATCTGATGTCAATTTAAGTCGGTCTATACTTCTGTTTTTGTATTTGCCCTTTTGGTAATCTTACTATTATAAATTCAGAAACTGAATTGATAGTAGGTAAAAAAAAAAAAGGTACTTAAATTTTGTACATATATTTCTAATTCAGTTTCCCAGCCACTTCATCTGTTCTATCTTTCCATGAGCCCACCAGGCTATAGGATGTACAAATCTCCCAAATAACCTACCCTCCTATATGTCCTACAACAATGCTTCCCTCCTTACCTGCTGTTCACATCACTTTTGCTAATATTACTGAGAAGCACCAAGGCACAGTGAAAATAATATTGCACTGGGACCCAGGAAATCTAGGAACTAATCCAAAATCAACTAGTGACTCACTAACAGCCCCTTAGCTAAATTAGTTTCCTTTTGTGGACCTCCTCTTTTGATTCAGGTACTGACTAGATCAACATTTCTCAAAATGAAACTATGCACACATTAGTGATCAGAATGCTTGCCATTTCAGTTGTACCACTATCACTTCCATACAATCTATTTAGTTAACCCTGTATTAAGCAACCAAAACCGTAAGAATAACCTTTAACAGGCTATTTATATTTTAAATACATATTATAAAATCCTAAGATAAAAATAGACTCAAGAGCAACAACTCACATACATAATCATTTTTGCAAACCCTACACTGGGTATTTTAAATTCCCTTCTAGCTCTAATGATCTTATTATTGAAGGATGATTATTTTCTATTTTACTTCCTGTTAATTAATACAACTTAGCTAGAAGCTGGATCCATACCTAGATGGTGACAGTTTTCCACAGTTGGCCCAGAACAAGCTAGGTGGGACAGGAAGTTTATTAAGAGGGTAACAGATGAATAACTTCTATTATATCCTTAGCTAGTCAAAATAAACACTAACTTTACTTTCTCCCTTAAGTTGCTATGAAAAACACCACACACACACACACACACACACACACACATACACACACACGGGCGCGCGCAGTAATTGTTTCAAAGCTGAATATTGAAGTATATTCAAATACATCAAGCAAAAATAATAACCCTTCTAAATAAGTTTTTTCATCCAGAGAACAGAGGTTAGAAAGGACTGAAGGGAAAACATGTATCTAAATGGAACAAATGATCTTGGGTTTTATCCAAAAGATACTACACTTCGGAAGGATTTCTATTCAGAGACAATATTTTCCACTTCAATCCCACGCATCATAAAAAACACAAAGAAGGAAATATGATTTCTTAATGATACAGCTTCTAGCAACTGGCTAGTGATCCTGAGTCTACTAGGGAGTTTGATCAGGAATCAGTTAGAGACACAACCACTGAAAGGAGCAAAACCTTGGATATCCTAAGCTTCCCATCTTTCCCATTGAGCAAAAGCCTTAAAAATAAACAAACATATACACACATACAGTCAACTCTTGATATTAAGTAAAGGAAGGGATAAAACAGTCAATGAATTTTAAAAATTTGAATTAATTTGCTATTTTTTTTAGCAAATAAAGCAAAGACCAGAAAACAATGAGTCAAAAACGTGACATTTTATAAATACTTATTTATAATTATACATGACAAAAAAGTTATATGCAATTCATTTTAATTCAGTATCAAGATTTAATCTTTTTAACAGCTGATTTAAGGTTTGTGCAAACAGTATTAATCTTACTTTACTTTGGGGAGTGGCAGGGATTGAACCCAGAGGTGCTTAATCGCTGAGCCACATCCCCAGCCTGTCCCCCTTTTATTTTGAGATAGGGCCTTGCAAAGTTGCTGGGGCTAGCTTTGAATTTATGATCCTCCTGCCTCAGCCTCCCCAGCCACTGGGATTACAGGTGTGCACCACCATGCCTGAATATTAATTTTACTCTAGCATCAAAGATAATAAAACATTTGGCTTTGGCTGAATTAGTCATGAATATTTACTAATGAGTACATAAATGCCAAACTAATGAGGCAAAAACTCTTAAACATTTTAATACAGATATCAAATAATCCAGCTTTTAATACCAGCATCATCTTCTACATACAGATAAAGAACATTTTTCACATTTGGGTTAATTTATTTGAGACTGACAAATCATTCAGAAATTATAAAAACAAAATCTCACCTTTTTGTTCTATGCTCTGACTAAACAAGAATACAAGAATACACTACATTTTAAATTTCTCACATTGATATATGGTTGGAATTATCCAATTAAAAAAACCATATTTATGACTAAATTTTAATAAAAATGCATAGGGCATTTAAATAATTTGGGATATTTTTACTTAGTGTCAAGAACATAAAAGCAGTTTGCCTTTTAAACATATAAAACCTCTTATTTTGGTTGATCATTATTAGGCTCTTAACAAAGCAAGGCAAAAAAATATCCCTCAAATATTCGTGATTAAACTGTTGAACCGGAATTGGCTCACCTCCCAATGACTTCACAAGTATCTGCTTCAATTAATTTTGAGAAATAAAATAACCCAATCATTCTTTAGTTTTCTGATGCCTCTGCAAAATGTATCTGAAAAAAATATCAAAATAAATTGCTGCATAACAATATATAGTGTACCTTCAAATAAAGTTTATCTCGATATCTGAGATGATACATTACTTATACCTAAACAAGAACACTGTATATATTATTTACCAAAACTTTGTTCCTTACTAATTACAAAGTGTTTCACTTTTGCTTCATTTCAATCAAATCTGACCTATTTGTGCCTTTTATGCATCACAGCAGTAACAGAATCCTAGAGGGTTAAAAATCTAGGTCTGGTCTAATCTCATTAGAAACTGGGGCCCAGAAAGGGGAAGGTCTGAATGCAAAGCTTCAAATTGCTGATGGAAATGTTTTTTTCAAATTACCTATGATTTATTTCCTACAGTATCTAGCATGTAAAAATTAAGTGTTGGTTCTAAAAGTACATTCAAAAACATGAAAACAAAGAGCACTACTCATAGATGAAGATATCACTTATGAAAAAGTCCTAGAGGAATTGCTCCAAGTTAAAACATTATGTTAAACACAGTATTATGATCATCTAGAACTGTCTAGAGGATTAAAAATGGTCACCTCTGGTGAGTGGGAAAGGAGCATCAGGAATAGGGGAATTAAGAAAACCTCAGAATTTTTAGAACAAAATAGAAGCTATTCCACTCCAAATTTATCTTCATTTTTTTTTTTTATAATTGTGGGGTAGAAGGATACCTTTCAATTATTAAAACTTACATTTCCAATCAGACAGAAAGAGAGAGAAAGAAAGCAAGTTCTCCTATTACTTACAGTTCTACAGATCATAGAGGTCTCGAAGTGTTTGGCACATAATCGATAATGTTTATTTAGTTGATCAGGTGTTTTATCTTCCAAGTCAGCTCTCCTACAATTCTCTACCCACTTCTGGCATCTATAAATAAAACCAAAATACAATCACAAAACATGAGCTAAACGTTTAAATTTCAGCATTTGGTTTTAAAGCAAATACATATTAATAACAATGAGTTCCCGCTCCCCTCCCCTAGAATATAATTTGGAGAAGTTGATTAATAACAAAGTGAGAGTTGGAAGGGACCTCAGACATCATATAGTATGAACCCTTTGATTACAGACAAGATTAAGAAGTAATGTGCTTAGTTATGTCCAAATTCAGTTGCAACATCGTTGGACAGGACTCAACCATCAGCAGTAAAAGTGAAAAAGTTGTACAAGGCCAAAAGTCTAATATTCCTTTCAGAAATTAAGCAAATGAAACAACACCATTACTGCAGAAAATTAGCAGGTAGAAGTTCAATATATAACTAGAGTTTCTTAGGGAAGCATGAAGACTATATTTATCTAAAACGATACACAAACTAGATTACAAGTTCCATGAATGCAGCACTGTATCTACACCATCCAACACACAGAAAATATTAAGATCCTGAACAAGATAAAGTCCATGTCCTCTTAAGTGCTTAACTAAGAGGTTATTTGCAGAATTGTAGCTCAGTGATAGAACGTTCGCCTAGTATGTGTGAGGCGCTGAGTTTAATTCTTAGCACTGCAAATAAATAAACGGTCCATTGGCAACTAAAAAAAATTTTTTTTTAGAAAAAGAAAACACTAACTAAAACCACAACCAAATATTACTCTATACCCAAAAGAATGACTATAGTATAAAAGGCATAATACCAAATGTTGGGGAGATGAAACAACTTTACCCATGGACAAAAGAAAGGATAAACTGGTATGTTCATTCCATGGAATGGGACTTGCCGATGGAGTGAACAAACTGCCTGTGCTCACACAAATCATGTTAAGTGGAAGAAGCCAAAAATACATATTATGTGAACAGGCAAAACTCATCTATGGTTTTGTTCAGAAAAAGTTAACACAGATCATATGCCTAAAATTGCCTTCCCCAGAAAGGCCTGTTAAAGAGTGTCTGGGAAATTAGCTGGTAAATAGTTCTCTACAGTGATATAAAATACTTCCTAACTGCTAAAGTGGCACTGTGCCTACACTGTGCAAACAATATGATTTATAATGAATAACTGCCCTCCTTCTGGGAGTCTGGAACTTTTGAATATACTAGGCAGAAGTTGCTTATTGACCAGGCCCTAATAAAAACCCTGGGCACTGAGTTGCTAACAGACTACTCTAGGGAGAAACATAGCCCATAGATTGCTGCATTTCCTGGGGGAAAATGGTCTCTGAACTCTATGGGAAGGATAAAGTATAAGGAAGCCTCAATGAACTCCTCTTAATTCTGCTGGTGTCTTTCCCCCTCATGATTCAGATGTATACCCTTACTATAATGCTGTAATATATCTTAGCTATGAGTACCACCACGTGGAGAGTCCCATGAATCCTTCCTATGAATCTCCAAAGAGGGGGTGGTTTAGGGTTCCCCAACACAGTGAAAGTCAGAATTGTAGATACCACTGGAGAGAGGTAACAACTGGTAGTAGGCATAAAAGAGGCCTCTAGGATCCAAGTAATGCTCTGTATCTCAAATAAAAAAACTTTTCCTCGTTCTTCTCCCTGCCTCCAAAACCTAACTTACCTAAATTATGTGAAAGTATACTAATCTAAAGTAGTTATTGCTAGAGCAAATGAGATAATGACTAGGAGGGTCACAGAGGAAAAGGAGTTTGGAGCACTAGCAATACCCTATTTTTAAAAAAAATTTCATGGACATGTCACTCTGAAAGTCCAAACATGATGTAGGCTTATGATTTGTGATCTGTGCATGTTTTCACATCAATAAAGTTATAAAAATTATTTATGATCAGTCTTTCCTACATACATGTATACATGTATATATTCTTAATATATTATTTATATATTTGTGTGTACATGTAGTACACACACATACATTCACACAGTTATATAAGTATCTCTCACATTTTTACCAACATCTCCCCTTTCCCAGCTTTGTCATTGTTTTGCTTCCTTTTCCTGTATTCCAGAAACTGTGGGCTTTTCCTTTAACAAAGTGGGGTGACTCCCTGAATTCACATATTTCTTTCCATCACTAATACCTTTTTATCTATCAATATACATCATTATAGACATTAAAACTGAGAACAATTTAAAAATGTTTATTAATTCATTATAACCTCCTTTCATGTTAACATATGAATATTTTAATGGAAATATACTTTCAAAATAAACCACATACTTTGGATTAGACAGAGGGGAGGGAAGGGAGGGGAGAGGATGTGGGGGTAGGAAGGATATTTATGATCTTATGTGCATATACAAGTACATGACTGGTGTGACTCTATATCACATACAATGGAAGAACGAGAACTTATACTCCATTTATTTATGAAGTATCAAAATGTATAACTAATTTAGAATAACAAAAAAAACCCCACATTTAGTGAGAATGATATTTTCCATCTCTGCAATTCTCTTTAATATATAACTTATAGATTCTCAGCTCTACTTCTGTGTTTAATATGTCCACAAATCCAGCCTTATATTAATATGCAGTTTTTTAAAATATATTTATTTTTTTGGTGTAGATGGACACAACACAATGCCTTTATTTTTATGTGGTGCTGAGGATGGAACCCGGGTCCTGCCCATGCTAAGCAAGCCCTCTACCACTGAGCCACAATCCCAGCCCCTTAATATGCAGTTTTAAAAGGCTATTAAAACCTCCTCCCTGGCGGATGTGGTGGTACAAGCCTATAATCTCAACGATCCAGAGGCTGAGGAAGCAGTAATCCCAAGTTTGAGGACAGCCTCAGCAATTTAGCAAAACCCTCAGCAATTTAGTGAGACCCTGTCTCAAAATAAAAGAACTGGGGCATGTAGCTCAGTGACAAAGTGCCCCAGCATCCAACCCCCCACTACCCTAAATTTTTTTTTAAAATCTAGAAAGCGCATTACATAACATCTAAGCAATAATGCCATTTTGTGTTATATAGCCCCCAAAATTCCACTGCATATTCCTGAGAGCATTAGCATGAAAAAGAACAATAACATCAGTGTTATGAAAATAGCGTTGACACTGCAGACTCCCTGAGAGTCTTGGGAACTGCTAAGGTCTGAATGTCTGTATTCTCCCCAAATTCACATGTTTAATGAAACTTAATCTCCAGTGCAGTGCTTTTGGAAGGTGGGTAATCTGGGAGTGATTAGGTCGCGAGGGCAGAACCCTCAAGAATGGGTTTAGAACCCTTATAAAAGGGACCCAAAAGAACTTGTTTGCCCATTCTGTCATATTAGGATACAGCAACAAGGTACCCACCAATGATGTTGAAAGCAAGCCCCTCACCAGATAAATCTGCTGTCACTTTGACCTTGGAATTCCCAGGCTTCAAAACTGTGAGAAATAAATTTGTTGTTTATAAATTATCCAGTCTAAGGTATTTTGTTATAAAATTTGTTGATTAACAGATTACTTGGTCTAAAATACAAACCTTTGTGAGTCCCCAGAAAACCACTGTTTTTTTACAATTTTACAAGACAGAGAACTCTCAATTAACTTTGATTAAACTGCCAAAGGAACCTGGAAGACAACCATCACCATCACTGCCTCATAGGCGAGTAGGCACTAACTGCCTGAGATGGAAGAAGAGTGCTTCAATTGCCCAACTCACTCTAATGGGTGCAATTCATTGATTTGGGCCTGAGCCTGGCTGAGAGCTGCCCCTAGGTACCTCCTGCCAAGACTCTGCTTAGGCAAGCTACCCTGAGACAACCAAAATTTCAGGCAATAATTTTTTAACTTTAATTTTCAGTAATCAGTGACCTCCATGCTCCTGCCCTAAGCTAAGCTGATCATATAATTTCACTTAAAAAAAAGAAAAGCATATCAATGGCATTTTTTCTAAACCAATAAGAACTATTATGTATGTAAAATTGTACATTACTGATTATGCTCTTGAATTTTTAATTATTTCTAAATATCTGTTCCTAAAAGTGAACATGGAATTTATAAATATGATAGATGGGAAATGCACTGTTTAATAGCATTAAATATATTATCTTAGTTGTCAGTTAACAATGTCAATTAACTTCAACAGGTAGGTTGGTAACACACCCTTTATCAACCTTCCTTACTACCCGTTTATAGGAAAAAAAAAAAAGAACTACTTCTTTGTACAGATTAACTGTGGGCACAGTGAAAAGGAAACTGAAAAGTTACTTTGAAGACATTATGTTAAATAAAATAAACCAGACATAAAAAACAAATCTTATTATTCCATCTATCTGAGGTACCCAGAACAGGCAAGTTTACAGAGACCGAAAGTGTATTAGAGGTTACCAGAGACTAGGGACAGAATAATGAGAAGTGACACTTCAAGATTACAGAGGTATTTTTTTGGCATAATGAAAATGTTTTGGAAACGGTGGTGATCGTTGCACAACATCGTAAATATAATCGATACCACTTAACTGTACACTTAAAAATGGTTAAAATGGGGCTGGGGTATAGTTCAGTGGTAGAGCCCTTGCCTAGCCTGTGTAAGGTCTTAGGTTTGATCCTTAATACCACAAAAATAAAAATAAAAATGGTCAAAATGATCAATTTTGTTATATATACTTCACCAAAAAATTTAAAATAATGTAATATACCAAAAGCCATTGAATTATACACATTAAATGAGTGAATTATATGTGAATTATATCTCAATAAAGATATTTTAAAAAGGAGTTCAGAAAAGTTTTATTATTTGGTCTTGAACTATTCAAAGGGCTCTTACAAGAAACAGGGAACAGACTTGCTCAGTGTCAATCTGGGGACAAAACTAAATCTCCAAAGCATAAATGACAGGAGGCAGACTTGCACTCAAAACAAGGAAGAAACAATAGCCGCCGCTGTCCAGGACCTCTAGATGTCTCTCACAAAGAAACCTGGAGTATTTTAGCAAAGGCAGATATCACCTGTCAGGAATGCATATGGCTCTCCAGAGTCCATGAGTGCCTTTATGGTGAAATGCAAAACTGGATTTGTTTTGTTTTCAGGAAAGAGTCCTTATTTTAGATTCTCAAAAGGGACAATAACTCCAAAGAAGGTTAAAAGCCATGACTAGAGGGAATTTCAGCATTCCAAGAAGACTCCACTAGACCTAAAATTCCTTCCAAATCTGAGAATATAATCCCTAATAGACCATATTTCCCTGAATGTAATGAAAAGAGCACTCAATTACATATGGACAGAAATCACTAGTATCCCTTAATCTGTTGTTTCCCATTCCTCCTGTCCTCCACTCCTTGGCACCCACAAATCTGCTGTCTATGGTTTAATCTATATATTTATATTTTATATAAATGGAATCATAAAATATATGATCTTTTATATCTGGCTTCTTTCACTTAGCATAATGTTTGAAGTTCACCTACATATCAACAGTAGCAGTACTTCATTACTTTTTATGGTAGATCAATATTCCACTGTATTAGTACATATTCTGTCTGTTCATTCAAGCACTGACAGACTTGGGGTTATTTCCATCTTTTTTGAGAATTATAAGCAGTGCTACTGTGAATGTTTGGTATGTGCTTTTTTTAAAAAAAATTTAAACACCAGTTTGCAATTCTTTTGACAATATACCTTGGAATGGAACTGCTGGGTGGTATGGTAATTCTATGTTTAACTGTCACCTCACTATGGTTTTGATTTAAACTTCCCTAATAACTAATGGTAGGGACCATCTTTTCAAGTGCATGTTAGTCATCTGGATCTCCTCTTTGGAGAAATATCTATTCTGGTCCTTTGCCCATTTCCTCACTGGGGTATTTGTCTTTTGATTGCTGAATTTAAGAGTTTTTAAAAAAAATATATTTGTATTCTAGACTCATCCGTTCTATTCTTTACAAACATCTTCTTTCATTCTTTCCACCTTCTTGGTAATGTCTCTTGATAAACAAAAGTTTGAGTCAGATGTGGTCATGCAGGCCTATGATCCAGTGACTTGGGAGATTGAGGCAGGAAGATCACAAGTTTGAGGCCAGGCTCAGCAATTTAATGAGGCCCTAAGCAACTTATCAGGACACTGTCCCCTAAAAATAAAAGGGCTGGGAATGTGGCTTAGTGGTTAAGCACCTCTGGGGTTCAATCCCCAGTACCCCCCCCCCAAAAAAAAAGTTTATTTTGATGATGCCCAATTCATGTATTTTTCCTTTTATTTCATGTGTTTTGGTTTCATATCTAAGAATCTGCTGCAAATTCCATGATTTCTTCTAAGAGTTCAATGGTATTAGTTTCATGTTTAGGCCATTTAAATATTAGCCATTTTGAGTTCATTTTTGCATATATGAAGACAGACATCTATTTTTTAATATCAAGCCTTTCAAACTTCACATGACCCAAATCAAACTTTTAATATCCCACCACCAACTCTATAGTTCCCAGTGTTTCCTATCTCAGTAAATGCTCAGGTTAAAAATTTCAGAAGTCATTCTTGATTCCCTTTTTTTTTTTTAAACCTGTATCCTATTGACATCATCTTCAAATCTTATCTCAAATGAAACAATTTGCCACCTCCTCTTTTACTAATCTGGATTACTGCAACTGCCTTTAACTAGTCTTCCCACTTTGCCTTTGCCTCTCTACAAGTTAACAAGCAGTTAGTGATCCTGTTAAAATTTCTCTGCTCTAAACCCTATCTTAGAATAAACGCCAAAGTTTTCTATGGACTACAACTTCCTGTACAATTTGTTCCTCTTATACATACCCTTTCTGGTTGCATCAACAAGCATGCCCTGTCTTTGCACTTATTGTTTGCTGAAAGATATCTTCATAGGTGGCCCCCTCACCTACTTTAGCTCTTTGCTCAAATTCCCCATTCTAACAAGGCCTTCTCTGATCACTCTACTTAAAATAACAATTATGGACTGTGGCTGTAGCTCAATGGCAGAGCACTGGCCTAGCATGTGTGAGGCACTGGGTTCCATTCTTAGCACCACATAAAAGTAAACAAATAAAATAAAGGCATGCTGTCCATCTGCAACTACAAAAATAAATACGTAAAATAGCAATTATGCCTTCCCTGCTACCACTAATTTCCCTCCAATCTTTGCTTCATTTTTCTCCATGGTATTTATTACTATCTGACACACTATTGTATATATTTTACATGATTGCACCCTCCACCCCCAGAACGCAATCTCCTTGACTAGGGACTTTTGATTTTTTTCAACTGTACCCACCAGTGCTCAAAACAATACCGTGCACATAGACCTTCAACAAATATTTGTTGAATTAATAAATAGCATGCTATAGCTATATCGTAACCGCCTGTTGCTATATTCCCCCCAATGACAGCGACACTGGCTATTCACCTCTGTATTCCCAGCACTTAACATTAGTGTTCGGCACATAGTAGGCAATGCTTTTAAATGACTGAATCAACAAGAAAGGCCTATGAAACATTCTCAATCTTTCCAACAATCCCTACTCTATCACTTCCTAAATGTAAGTTCGGTATGTGGGTTACCTCAAAAAGGTTTCAATATCAATTCCCACGCCCTCACGTGTATTCCCTGATAGCCCCACAATAACCAAGAGAGATTATGAGTAACGGTCAGAGCCTGAACTTTATCATTGTGTAATGACAAGTCCGAAGAAAGGAATAGTGGCCACCAGACTCGAGATCAAAGCCGGCGGGCGGCACGGTTCCGAACAGAAACGCTGTCTTGGGGTGGGGGATGGCAAGGAGAAAGAAAGGCCCAGTGACCACAACTAGAGTCCAAGTCCCAGTTTGACAGCTCAAGAAATGAAAGCCCAGAGAGGAAGGTGACTTGCCCGAGATCACACAGCAAGTCAATCAGGGTGAGAGCCCACCTCATCCCGCCTCCGCGCCAAACCCCAGCCAGCGCACGTGCTCCGAGGTCCCCTCCACCCGCCGGCCAGCAGCGGGTCCCTTCTGTGGTCCAAGACTAGCGGACAACAGTGTGCGGTACCTCCCAGGGCCCTCGGCCCAGAGCCTGCGGCCGGCAGCGCGCACCGCGCAGGTGGGCCCGGCCGCCCGCTCCAGGGCGCCCTTACCTGGCCGGATCCCGCGGGAACCTGAAGAAGGCCAGGTCGGACTGCGTGCTCTTCCGCGTGCAGTTGGGGGCAGCGCAGAAGTTCGGCATCGTCGCCCGCCTGCCGGCCGGCCCAGCCCTCCCCTCCCCGCCTCCTCAGGGCAGCCACCCGCCCGTCGGGGCCGGGGAGGGGAGCCAGGCCGGCCGGCCGGCTCGGCAGGGCCGGCGCGCGGGGAGGGGCGGGCGCGCGAGAAGCCGCGAGGGGCAGGAGGGGCGCGCGGTCCGAGGCCGGGCTGGGGACGCGGCTCCACAGTGCTGTGAGCGGCCGGGAGGATTTACCGCCGCCGCCGCCGCTGGTGCACCTCCCGCCCGCCCGGGACGCTGCCGCCTCCTTCCCACAATGCACTCTGGCGCCCGGGGGTGCCCTCTCTTCCCTCAGTCTTCCTCCCCCGCCCTCCTTTCCGTCGACTTCCCCGCAGCCGGACACGCGCACGGAAGCGCGCCTTTGCCCGGGTGCGGCAAGGCGAAGGCGGGGCCTGGCGTGGGCTACTGCAGTGCGCCTGCGCACAGCCTAACCCTCAGGGAGCGAGTTGCGCATGCGGGACAGCCTCTCGGGACTCTGTAGCTGGCGGGCGCTAGGTTCCTCCGGTAGGTTTCGCGTGTGCGGGTTTCTGCAGATCTGGGGCGAGCTTGCACGTTACATCACCATTGCATCTCTCCTTGCTTGTTCAAGTTGCCACCACTTTAGGCGTGTGTGGCAGAAGTCGTAGAGATTCTTAAGAGCCGCGGAATTGGGACGACCTTGGTGACCAATTTGTAAACTCCAGGCAGAGCTGCGCGTATGAGTTGGACGCAGACGTGGATTGCAGGGGATTTGATTTTTCTTGACTTTGCAGCTCCTCTTTGGCCCCGTTAGCTTCTCAGATCAGACGTTAAGGGGCGAAAAATCAGAAAAGCAATTACTCTTCCCTGACGGGGTTTCCAGGGGAGAAAGAATAGTGACATGATTATGCCTACAGCCCTATAGAGATTGGTCCCTCTGTCTTCCCCTCATAATTGTGGCCTGTTAACTTTCCTGTGTATACTGCCAAAATGAGTGACCGCTATTTAGAACAAAGGATTAGTATAAAATTTTGCGTGAAATTGAACAAGTCTGCAAGTGAGACCCACCATCTTTTAAAAGAAGCCTATGGGGATGAAGTCATGTCAAGGGCCCGAGTTTTTGACTGGCACAAACGATTTAAAAAAGGGCGGGAAGATGTTCGAGACGATGCACGAAGTGGGCGGCCTGTCACCCACAGGACAGATGAAAATATCCAGAAGGTCAAGGACTTGGTTTGTTCAAACAGGCAGTTAACCGTGAGGATGATGGCTGAAGAGTTAAATTTAGATAAAGAAACCGTTAGACTCATTCTGAAAGAAAACTTGAACATGAGGAAGGTTTCTGCCAAAGTCATATCAGGTATTTTGAAAGATGAGCCTAAACCTGGAAAACTTGATTTGCGATCACATCTGTCAAAGGACACTAGGAAAAACAGCTCATGTGTGAAGAAGAAGTTAACAAGTTCTGAAACATGGAGTCATCTGCAGGGGGAAGCTGTTGGGGAAATGCCTCTGTCTGTGTCCGGTCCCAGAATCCATTACCCTGACAACCAACCTCTGCAGCCATCATCTTCTGCCAGCTTTCCCATCAGAGTGGCCCAGGATTGGTTCACACCCTGGTGAAAAGAATCTGAGGGTAGCTGAACCTGAGCTAGGAAGTTGCATCACTGTTGGGCAACTTCATTTGCTGCTCCTGTTTCCGCTCCTCCTTGCTGGCATGGCCTTCCTATTTTATGCTGGACTGTGGCCATCTCCCTTGTTTTTCACCACTTTGAAGTGCTTTGGTTGTTGACTTCTGTTGCTTGCTTCTTTATATTTCTCTTGCTTAACAAGTTTGGATCTCTTCATTGCCCATACTTCAATTTGTTGTGGCTGTCCTGTTCTTTTGTTCTCAACGTTCTGCCTCAGGGGATCATCCATATCTTTGGGCACAGGGAGAAATTTCTTCTGAGAGGACCCCAAAAGGCCTACTGTTTCATTTACTTTGCAGTCAGAGCCTAAGGTATGATACAGAAGGCAGTGGACCTGTTGAACAATCTGGGTCAAAGGCCCAAATGACTGGGTAGGAGCCCCTCAGAACTGGGGGGGGGGGGGTTTCCACCAATACTGATCTTCTTTTGGACCTCCCTTTCACAGAACAACTGGATCTGTTTCATTCTAGTCTTGAGCTTTGGCCCCCCATTTATTTGGGTTTCCCCTCACTGGAAGAGGAAAATCTGACCCTAGGAAATATAAACTAGGGGACGCAGGCCAAGACTGATATGTGAGGAGAAAGACCAGATGATTCTCCAGACCCTAAATTAAGGGAGTCCGCAGTCTATTTGGTGTGTTTTGAGCACCTGCTGTTTTTAGAACACTTCTGGGCAGTGACAATGTAAAGTTCTTAAATGAGATCACCAGGTGCAGTTGGGCTTCACAAAGGAGCTGGTTCTTGAACTGGATTCATGAGGAAGGGTGAGACAAAGGGCTATGAGATTAGGGAACACTTCCCAGGCCGGTGAAACAGCATGAGGCTGGCAACCTGAAAGTGGCCACAGAAAGTGATGATACTTGGCTAAAATAACAAAGATTAAAGGGGAAGGTGGTGGTATTGCAGAAGATGAATAATGGGAGATAATTTGCTGTCCTCAACTCTATGCCTGCTGGCAGTTTATAAATTACTTCCCCGAGTCTGTGAGTAGGTTTATGATAATGCATTTCTTTGGTTATCTGATTTTCCCATTGAACCTCAAAAAGTAGTCTCTCTGTGTCCAAACTGTCTTCTGTGTTCCTGCTGCTCTGCTAGGACTTATGGATCGGAACTTTTCCCCAGGGGCTTCCAACTATTACCACATAAACTATCAGAATGTCTGATAGGGAACAGGAGAAGCCAGGGGGTAATAGCATTTCACAGCATTGGTTGGTGTCTGTGTTACCCAAGGATTTTGAAACAACAGCTCCTCTTTAACAAGTAAGGAACTAATCTAAAGTGGGGAATAATAGAGGATCCACACTTATTCATTCCACACAAGTAACTTTTAGTTCCGTTCTTTCATTGTCTACTGATTTCAAAAAGTTAGAAACTTCTCTCTAATACCTGTCAGTTTGGAGACACTTTGAAAGCTAGACCTTGTGCTACAAAGAAAAGATAATAAGAAAACTCTTAAACCCAGCAGATTTCCAACTACTTGCAATTTCTAGACATTTTGTTTTAGGACCATTAAGTCTTCTTACCTCAGACAAAGTCCTGGGTTCCCCATAAGCACACTGGACTTCAGGAGCAAATCCCCACCACTCATTGTTGCAATTTTATTGCTGAATTTATTTATTCTGCTCAGGCCCTGTTGTAATAATTGCAGAATCACATGTTCCTGGGCGCAGGCTAGAATCCCACAACACCTGAAGACATTAACTCCAACCTATAATAACACAGAGGTCCTGCAAGAACTTATTTCTGGGTTTTATTGTAGTCCCTGTAAGCAGGACTGGGATAATGATGCTGCTCCCTGGTGATGATGCTGGACCAAGACCCATGCAGGAGTGTAGGATACCAGAAGTGAAGTTGGCCCAGATAGGGTTTGAACACAGAACACCTGGAAGTAAGGTAATTGGGAGTGTGAATTCAAATTTTTCCAAGTGTCTGTCATGAAATGGACAGCTTATATCCTTAGATGATGTCCTAAATAGTTATTAGTTGAACTACTACTTGAACCCATTGTCTCTTTGCAAGGCTTCCCATAAAATATTCAGTGATAATGTCATGCTTCAGATTTTTGAGAAGTAAAATTTCTGTCCTAAAACTCATCCAGAGCAATCTATTCTCACAGTACTCAAATTGCTAAACCCAAGACTTCCACATGATCGCCTGGAGTATCCAAGGGAGTTCTTAGAACTCCTTATGTACCCACTTGCCAAATGTACTCCATTGCTGACCCACATTTACCCTGGCATGCACTTGTGGGCCAGGTCTCTTGAGCTCCTGATCTTGTAATCTCAAATCCAGCCCTGCATCACACTCGAGGCTCTTGTCTTTGGCTCATGCATATACCCCTCTCAATTTATTCTTCACCAGTTTGTTTTCTGGTTCTGGACCACACCTCCAAGAGCACCTTTTGGCCACTTTGATGTGTTGATCCTTGAATTGCTCTTTTGTTAAGGTCTTTCACTCAGTTTTCTCTTATTTCTCTGAATTTTGGGTCCCTCTTCAAGCTCTCTGCTTTAGCCACTGTGCCATTGGAGCAGAAATTGTCTGCTCTACCCCTACCCACCTCTCAAGAAGTGGGTAGGGCAACGAGGGGAATATATGTTCTGGATTTTTTTTTTTTTTTAATAAGGGGCATCAGTGCCCAGGAGGATGGGAGGAGGTCCTTGCCTCTCTTAGCCACTGTTGGTTGTACTCCCCAGATGCAACTATTTTCTCAAGAAAGCAATCTCCTTACCTCTGGCCCTGAGAATCATGAGTATTCAGAGCTATAACATCCAAATCCCATTCTCCCAGCCACTGTATTCTGCCTGACAGGAGAAGTTTCACCTAATTGCAGATCAAGCGTGGCTCTCTGTGAGACATTAGGAGAAGAGTTGGCAATCTGCAAACCTTGACCATAATTCTCAGGCTTAACACAATCAGTGAATCTTTTTGGCATTTAGGTAGATCTTCCCCTACCCACCCATATTCTCACTCCCATTTTGATTCAGAGTCCACATGGAATGTTCGGTGCCACAGCTAAAGTCCAAGAGGAATAGATTGTTCTTGGGGCAGATCATCCCATCATTAATTTTATCTAATTCTCTCACTCTCCACCCTGCTCCATTTACCCCATTAAAAATTATTTTAAAAAGAGAAAAAAATAAAAATTTCACCAATCTTTGAGAAAAACACAAGGACAGTTCTATAGTCTTCTAAATTCTGCCCCTGGCTCTGAGTCCTCTTTGAAATGTTATCTTTTGGGAAGAATGTATACCTGGGACCTACTTTCCAGAGCCTTCCTTTCAGATCCATTTCTTTGTCAAAGTCCACACTTGATATGGGAGATGCCAGATAAGTCTGGATTCTAAATGACTTGAGGACACCTACTAAAGGAGTGGATCACTATTGGGGAACTGTCTGTCACTCTGTTGCAGTACACGATTCACTTTGCCTGCTCTTTGCAGATATCATCACCAGCAAGCCTTGCTACGCTCCCTGGGATTACGTCTCACCAGGATCTTAGTTAGAGAGCCTCCCTTTGCTCCTGAACTATGTTATTCTGCATTCTTCAACTACTGCTGCAGGGATCAGCCTTCCTAGATTTTACCAGGCTTTTACATCTTATCGGAGGCAATCCTTCTATATTTATGTTCTCTCTAGTCTCTGCCTTATCAGATCTTTACAAATTCTGTGCAAGTTGTATCACCCAGTATAAATATCCAGAAACAATCTAGTGGGGAGCTTCAGTACCTCCAAGGACCCACTTGGGTCTACTGAAGGGTCAGCAGACTTCTATAAAGAAAGCATCCTAGGCTCTGTGTGCTCTATCATCTCTGTTGCAGTTACTCAACATGTTAGTGCTAAAGTAGACAAAGCTAATATGAAAACAAAGGATCATGGCTATGTTCCATATGAAACTTTATAAAGGGATACTAGAATTTGAATTTCACATAGTTTTTACAAAATATAATCTTGATTTTTTTCCCCAACCATCTAAACATATAAAAAAAAATTGTTGGGCTGGGGTTGTGGCTCAGTGGCAGAGTGCTTGCCTAGCATGTGTGAGGCACTGAGTTTGATTCTCAGCACCACGTATCAATAAATTAAAAAAAAAAAAAAGGTCCACTGACAACTAAAAAAATATTTAAGAAAAAAAATTGTTTAGCTTATAGACCATGGAAAGACAGGTGGTGTACCAGACTTGGCCCATGGGCCATAGTTTGCCTACCTCTGATCTAGTGTGTGTGTGTGTGTGTGTGTGTATGACAGATGATAGCTTGTTTTCCATCAATAACATTGTTAAGGCCAAGCGGATCTGTCAGTGTCTGACGATTTACTATACAGAAATTGTGGAATCTTGAGACCAAGAGAATGACCTAGAACTGAATGATTGGCTATTTCACCTTGACCATATTCCAGTTCACAAAATGAATTTTGTGCTTTTTGATTAAAAATGATTTTTTGCAAACTACCACCTGTGTTATTCCCATGTAATATCTCAAAACCTATTTTGGCAATATTAGAAATGGTGCCAAGTTACAATTGGCAATAATGGAATGAACTAAAGGTAGTTCTGAAAATGCTTTGACCATGGCATTTGAATATGTTATCACCTATTAAAATGTGTACTATGGAGGTGGCAAAACACAAATTTTTTTGCAAGTTTATAAAAATAAATACTATATATGGGTGTGTATATGTATGTATATTTTCGTGTATATATATATTTGTGTGTATTATGTATATGTGTGTGTATATTTTTTTTAACCTTGTAACTGTTGTAACTGGTGCCAGAGTATGTACTTTTAGATGAGTATACTTGTTTTTCCTCTAAAGAGATCTTTATTGTATCACCTTCACTTAAGCTGATTTCCAAAGTTGCAATAGAATCTCAAGGTTGAACAGAACTTTATAAGAGTGATCAGCCAATCATTTTTCCCTTGAACCAGGAGTAAATCAACCCTCCACTGGCTGAAAGGCTATCTGAAAGAATATTCTGTATTAATTTACTCAATGAATGTTGAATGGCTGAGGTACCAGGCACTGTCCTGTGTGCTGAGGTACAGCAATAAACAAAAGAGACACAGGCCTTACATTTGACAGTCTGAAATCTAATTATATGACTCTTTACTCTTCACTGTTCCATGTGCTCATACTAACTCCTTGTTAACTGCAAACCTGGAAATAGGTATGACCTTTGCCCTAAGACTTTGTGCCGTGGTCATGATGCTTCTCCAACTGCATTAATAATGGGAGGACTGTATGTTCCACTTAAATTTTATTATCCTTTACATGGATCTATATTGGTAGAAAAATATGCTGGCAATGTTGGAAGTGTAAATTGGCAACAGCTTTCTGAAAAGCAATTTGGCAGTATCTATTAGGAGGAGCTTTAAAAATGTTTATATCCCCTGATCCTCTAATTCCACTTCTGGGAATCTGTCCTAAAGAAATAGTCTAAAATGTGGGCAAAATTTATGCTTACTTATCTAAAAGTCCAACAGGAGAAAATCGGTTAAATAAATTATAGCATGATTATACAATAGACCTAGTATGCAGTCAACATAATAAATGTTTATTAAGAGTATTCAGCAGCACAGCAAAAGTTTATAATGTTTAGTGAAAAGAGTGATACAAACTGTACATAGGAACCCCAAAATGTTTTTCCCCCCAATGGCTAGAATGGATCTGCCAATTCCGGGTGGTTGAATTTTATGGGTGTTTTTAATTTTTTCTGGTTTTTATACTTCTAAAGAATATTTCTCCAAATAACGTTCCTTTTATTATCAATAAAAAAATAGCATCAAAAGTTGGCGATAGAGAGTAAGGCTACATCCGCAGTGTGATCCATGAACAAATTAATTGGCTGGGTCAACATGGAGGCTGTATGATATTGTGTTGGTTTGCAACAGAAGGGAAAAGGACCTGCCCCAGAGGAGAAGGGGAAGTGACCAAAATGCCTACAAAAAAACCAAAGTTGTTATTAGGAGATACCATGAGTGGAATTTCCTGTTATGTGGCCCTAGGTAGGTGAAAGAACACTTATGAATCAAGTATATTCTGACAAATGAAAAAGGATATGAAATTCTCTCCTAGGTAAAATTAACCTCTTTTGGATTTTACTCTCACATTCTCTCATACAAAATGAATTCTTAACATGGATTTTATTATAGCTGATTCTCTGAAGAATTCTGAACCTTCCATATAATTTCTTTAGAATAGGAATAGCTTTCAATGTGCCAAGTCTACCTCCTCCCATACTGGGACACTCAAGCAACAAGGATATATTGGAATATTTATGTTCAACATTGAGAATGCTACATGCAAATCATTAATCATCTTTAATGTAACTTACAAAACTCTTAAGGTTTGCAAATGTTATTTTGATGGTGTCCAAAATTATTGTACTTTTTATTTATGTCTGAAGAATAATAATCACATTGTAGGATTTTAAAGTGAGATATTATATTGCTAATGCCTACCCATAGATGAAATTGTTATGGTGGGGAAACATGTACTTACTTGTTGTCTTAGAAAAATGATTATCATTAAAATGTTAAATATATCTCCTTGGTGAAGTTTCAAGCCTTCAAATATGTATACAAGGTAAATACATGTTTTATAGACATATAGTTTATAAATTTGTCAAGCTGGATGAATTCTTCAAAATCTTAAAGTGTAAGTCCCTCGTTTATACAAAGGACAAGAGTGAGACTTGGGGTTTAGTTTTGGTTCCTCAGCTAGCTGGGTGATTGGGCAGTTCATTTGCAGCTTCCAAGTATCTCAGCTTACTCATCTATGAGAGTAAAATAATACCATTTATCTCATGAAATTGTTCATTTTTTCATTCAACAAATATTTATTGAGTGTTATATGTATCTGACACCGTTCCAGACATAGAATACAGCAATAAATAAGACAAAATATATTCCTCCACATGAGCATGCATTTAAGAGAGGGAGACAAGCAATAAGATAAATGAGTCAAATATAGTATATTAACCAAATGCAGTAGCATAGGCTTGTAATCTTAGCCACTCAGAAGGTTGAGGCAGGAGGATCATAAGTTTGAGGCCAGGCTCAGCAACTTAGTGAGATCCTATCTTAAAATAAAATATAAAAAGGGCTGGAGATGTAGGTCAGTGGTAGAGCACCCCAAGTTGTCCTCCATACTACAAATGAAAAAATAAACTATACACATTATACATATATTTGTTAGTGATTATTAAATGTGAAGCTTATATTAAATAATATATATCAATAAAGTATATGAGGTACACGACACAAGACCTAGCATGTAATAAGTGCTCTGTAGATAGTATCTTTTGCTTCTTTTTCTTCCTGCCAGCACCTGAATTATTCTACCTGATTGTAGCAATCTGCAAAAGGCCTGAGCAATTATTGCCTTCTGTCTCCTGCTAGTTAATAAGGCCTAAGCCTGCTTTTTACCTAAAAAGACAAATTCTTAGTTATTTTTGTACTTCCTGTATGGCAGAATAATCAAGGTGGTGGCTAAATACTGTTAGAAATGGCCTTTTCTGGAACTAGTTGGCAGGAGTCTTTGAGTAGGGCTGAATGGCAGGTGTTAGTCCACAAAGACAAATGCACACTATAATTGCTTTTTAAGCAAAACAAACCAGAAGACATATTAATGACTGTTTCTCTTAAAGAGAAGTGTGTGCCCTGTGTCCTATGCCAGACTTTGGAAAACTGAGGAAAACTTGCAGTGTTACGAGACTGGCTACGACATTATTTGTAGGAGACTGGGGCCAGGAAAAGGAAGCTTTAACATCTGTGGTTTGTTGGTATTTTTGCTCACTGTAGAAAAATTGGAAAGTTCAGAAATGTATGAACAATCAGCTAGAAGTTTATCTCTGGTATTCAAGTCTTTCTCAGTGTCTTAGTTTCCTCCTTCAGAAATATCCAGCAAACAGAATTTACTGAATTTCTTCATTAGGCCTGGGCCTGTATTAGGCACAGAGGATACAGCCCCTGCCTGAGACAGTACCCACCTTTGTGAGCTAGGGGAAGAAGGGACAGAGGTGGCTCCAACCACAGATCTTTCCCAGAGGACTGTCTAAGGAACAAGCTTTTGTAAACAATTTGGAACAAAAAAATTGGAATCATTATACTTACCATACTTGTGGAAATGAGAAATCTGTGGTATGAACAGGTGATAACTGTTTTCTGGCTGTGCCACCCCTAACTCTTCTAGAAGGGACCTGAACTCTATCCACAAGGATTTGGCTTAGCATATCATCTCTCAGAAGAAAATGGACACTAGGCCGTGGGTCAGTACCCCTGTTATCTTGCTTGAAGAAGCTAATAAGTGAAAAATCAGAATTATAACCCCGATTGGATGAGGAAATTGGCTCAGGGAAGTTGAGTGACTTTTCTTGAATCACACATCTAGTTGATGGCAGAGCCAGCATAATAATGAAGGACCTTAAGCCTTTCTCAATCCAGTGAGTTTTTTCTGTTATACCATTGGTAATAATTTCCTTTATAAATCATGTTAAACTTTGCATTAAAATCATGTTCAACCTTGCATTTAACAAATGATTTACCAACAGTTGATTTATACACAATTTTTAAAGAGTATATTTATGGCAACATGGTAGAGGGTTTTTCTAAATTTTCCTGGGGTGTCTAGGTCCCCTGGTCCTTCTTCCAGAAGTGTGTATTCTTAAGTAAATGTTGGAATTCTGTCATTCTTTTTTTCCAGATGTTCTTCCCAAGTGATGTGTTATGTTTTGGGTTTTTAATATTTCTCACATACATTCTTAAAGTCTGGGACCATAAATCTTAATAAAACTCTCAACTATCTCCTCTGTGCTGTCTCAGATTTCCAAGTGTATTTGTATTTATGATACGATGTCTGAAGTCATGATGCTATCACATAATTAAGGTTTATATCCCTATATCCTGATCTTGTATTTCTACATGTTCTAAAAATTCTTTACACTTCACTTGTAATGCCAGTATAGTGTGCCATGACATTTCCATAGTAACATGTTTCAAACAGGAAAACAAAAAGAGCCCAAGAAAAGAGAAGGTTTCAGTGAAAAGAAGAGGAGGAGAGAGGGAAGAGAAGAAGAAAAAGAAAGAAAATAATTAAAACTATTACAAGTAGTAGAATACATAAGATGAAGTGAGGTAGTAGGGAAAGGGGTTATATATTCTATTCTAGTGTGGTGTGTCTCAAGAGCACAACATTGTTTGTACTCAACTTGTTATGTGGGTGACACCCACCAAGTGACCCACTCAGAATTACATTTTCTTTCACCCTTACATCTGGGTGGGTCTGCGTCACTCTTCTATCATTTCTTATTATCACCTACCTTTCGCCATACTGTCCTGAAATCCACCCCCTATGTTTCACTTGTGCTATTTGATTTGGAGTTTGTTAAAAACCAGAGACTTGGACACTAGTGTTTTGAGCTGGCTCAGCCCCATTCTCTCCTTGGAATGCCTTCCTGCTGCCCTCCACCTGGCAGACTCCCTCTCAACACTCAAGTCTCAGCCTTACCATATATCTTCCCTGTCACCCCATTGGTAAAGCAGTCATCCCCAGTACACAATGCATATTCTTATGTTAAAAAACCGTAATGTTTGTCTGTGTGCAGTGGCACATGCCTGTAATTCCAGTGGCTGGGGAGGCTGAGGCAGGAAGATCATAGTTCAAAGCCAGCCTCAGCAACTTAGTGAGGTGCTAAGCAACTCAACAAGACCTTGTCTCTAAATAAAATACAAAAAGGGGCTAGGGATGTGGCTCAGTGCTTGAGTGCCCCTGAGTTCAATCCCTAGTACCAAAAAAACAAAACTGTAACATTTAACTGAACTTAATTGTTTGCAGGATGAGTTTTAACCTCTCTATCACATCTGATTCTTCTCTGTATTCCTGGCACCCAGGATTAATCTTGCTTGGAACTGCTGAATAAATGTTTGATGGATGTTTGAAGGAAGGGACTTTTATAGTAATTGCTTTTTTGTTGTGGTAAAATTCCCATAACAAAATTCACCATTTTATCCATGTTAAAGTGTATGTTTCATTGGCATCTAGTGTGGCTCAGCCATCACTACTATGTAATTCCAG